CTTTGTAAATTATGTTCATTTCTTTGCATATTACTACAGTACACTTAATTAACATTTTCAAGTATATAACATTTGTCAAAATATAGCAAAACCTCGTTCACAGGACTTCTGAAAATAGAAATGCGTTTAAATATTATATTATTATGTTTAGAGAATATGATGTTAAAGCATTTCTTATCAGTTCATACATCTTATTGACACAAATCATTGAGAACTATCGCACATTTCTGGAAGATTTAAAAGAAAGTTTATGAATTAAAGGAATGCTAGGCTATATATGAAAGTTGACCTCACCTCAGAGCATCAGGCGATGTACTTTCTAGCATTGTTAAGACTCTGAGATCAGATAAAGCGGTTCCTTCAGTCTCCAGTGAACTTCAGGACGTCCAGATGAAGGATTATTGTGCTGTGGGACAAAGAGAGACTCATTTGAGCACATCATTATTATTCTGTGCTGCGCGCCGCGGATCTGCTGTGATCGCGCTCCGTTCACGCGCTCTTCCATTTTATTACAGGGAACGCGCTTTAAGAAGAGTCAAAATCACGGTCTGGAAGTTGATCGAGTTCATCTGGAAAGACGCAAGATCGATAATAAACACAACACAATCAGATGTGAACATTAGAAATCGACTTCCAGCGACTGTTTGCTTCATAAAAGCCAATTTCATGAGACGAGGAGAAAACCACCGCGTAAAACAGCGTCCATGTGTTTAACATGCGCTGTCTGAATTAAGATATGTGCATTAAGCTGCAGGAAGTGAGTATTAATAACTTTATATACACTCTGAGCTCGTAAAAATGATTTGGATGTGACCTGTCTCAGATTAAAAACTCACCGCATTATACATCGAAAATGAAATTGATTCGGAAAGTTATTAAAAGTGACTAATGTTTGTCATGAGTTTCGTGTCATTTTTTTGTTATCTGAATTACCATGAGATTTAATGTTGGCTGAAGGCTACTGTTAATAAACCCAAAACAGTAAAACTATCTATCTATCTATCTATCTATCTATCTATCTATCTATCTATCTATCTATCTATCTATCTATCTATCTATCTATCTATCTATTATTTTTTTTATTCTTTGTCGTTTTTATTTTCTTATATTTTATGCTTTTTTTCTTGTTTATGCACATTAAATTACCATTGTGTATGAAATGTATCTGACTCTAAAATACCCAAAATTATTGCTTTATGCGTTAATTATTTTGAAGCTAACAAATTTATAAACATACATTATTGTATTGTAATTAGTAAAATATGAGTGTATGTGTGTGTGGATGTTTCCCAGAGAAGGGTTGCGGCTGGAAGGGCATCCGCTGCATAAAAATGTTCTGGATAAGTTGGAGGTTCATTCCGCTGTGGTGACCCCGGATTAATAAAGGGACTAAGCCGACAAGAAAATGAATGAATGAATGAATGAAAAGGATAACATGCCATAAGTCGTTGTTCAGAATAATATATAAAACAAAATAGTTTAAAAAGTAAGGCTTGTATAGGAATTTCACTAAAAAAGTTAAATATATTTCGGCTCCATTACATTTAGTTTTAGTGTAAAAATGATTTGGATGTGACCTGTCTCAGATTAAAAACTCACCGCATTTAAACTGAACAATAAATTGATTTTGGAAAGGTTTTAAGTGACTAATGTGTGACTTTGCCATGAGTTTTGTGTCATTTTTTTGTTATCTGAATTACCACGAAATTTAATGTTGGCTGAAGGCTACTGTTAATAAACCCAAAACAGTAAAACTCTCTCTATCTAATTTTAATGTTTTATAACATTTTATTTTTTGTTGTTTTTATTTTCTAATGCTGTTTTTTATTCTCGTTTATGTAAAGCACATTTAATTAACTTTGTGTATGAAATGTGCTACTGTATATAAATCTATCTATCTATCTATCTATCTATCTATCTATCTATCTATCTATCTATCTATCTATCTATCTATCTATCTATCTATCTATCTATCTATCTATCTATCTCTAAAATACCCCAAATTATTGCTTCTTGAGTTCATTGTTTTGAAACAAATTTATCAACATTATTTTACATTACTGTATTAAAATTAGTTAAATAAAAAAATAAAAGTATGCCATAAGTCGTCGTACAGAATAATGTATAAACATTGCAAAATGGTTTAAAGGGTAAAGCTTGTATAGGAATTTGACCAAAAAAAAGAGAAATATATTTAGGCTACATTAGATGCAGTTTTTGTGTGTGAATTAACTCTGGAGCAAGCTGCAAGTAAAAGTTAGTAGAAGTTGTTAATATAATTTAATTGTTAAATAAAATAATAATAATGAAAGCTATAATGCAAAATAAAAAACACAGTACATTTTTTAGAATTTTAAATAAAGGTCTGTATATAAAAATATATTAAATAGGCCTATATAAATACCAAAACAAAATTATATATATATATATATATATATATATATATATATATATATATATATATATATATATATTAGGCCTATATGTAAAATATAAAGAAACAGATTAAATCCAGGAGATTAATTTCTTTTTCATTCACTTCCAATTTTAAAAATGCAGTGACTTAATATCCTGCATCTATATGTATTCATTCGTCCGTCTGCATGCTAATGATCATTTGAGGCTCGTGTTTCCAGCGACAGACAGACAGACTGACGGTAATGTGATCATCTACCAGAGGAGCTCCAGATATCAGCAGTCCCGCCTCGGGTTGACGGAGGCCGCGTGTCCCGCCCTGACCCCGGCGAGGAGGATCGGCTCAGCGCTGAATGACGAGCCACAGACACTCGACGAGCCTCAACGCATTCAAATCAATCAGCCCGGTGTGACGTCATCGGACACGTGACCGGAGCGGGCCGCTGGAGGTGTATGATCTGAGATCAGGTGACTTTCCCGTCATAAAGAGCTTCATAAAAGAATAGGGCTGGGATATTATTGTGGACCACTGAAATCAGATGAAGCCATTTGTTAACTGTACTAATAATAATACAGTTTAACTGTAACTGGCTTTACATTATTAAAATGATAATTATATTTAAGTATTCATTTACATATAATAAATAAAACATTTTTGTGTATGAATGTATATACATACACAAAAACTTATTTAAAATGTTTATAAAATGTATACACATATAATGGCCACTTTGTTAGGTACACCTTAATTGTACCGGGTTGGACCCTTTTTGCCTTCAATCAGAACTGCCTTAATCCTTCATGGCATTGATTCAACAAGATACTGGAAATATTCCTCAGAGATTTTGCTCCATATTGACATGATAGCATCAAGCAGTTGCTGCAGATTTGTCGGCTGCACATCCATGATGCCAATCTCCCGTTCCACCACATCCCAGAGGTGCTCTATTGGATTGAGCTCTGGTGACTGTGGAGGCCATTTGAGTACAATGAACTCATTGCCATGTTGAAGAAACCAGTCTGAGAGGATTCACGCTTTATGACATGCTGCGTTATCCTGCTGGAAGTAGCCATCAGAAGATGATTGTGGTCATAAAGGGATGGACATGGTCAGCAGCAATACTCAGGTAGGCTGTGGTGTTGACATGATGCTCAATTGATACTAATGAGCCCAAAGTGTGCCAAGAAAATCTCCCCCACACCATTACACCACCACCACCAGCCTGAACCGCTGATACAAGGCAGGATGATCCATGCTTTCATGTTGTTGACGCCAAATTCTGACCCGAGCATCTGAACGTGTCAGCAGAAATTGAGACTCATCAGAGCAGCAACGTTTCTCCAATCTTCTATTGTCCAGTTTTGGTGAGTCTGTGTGAATTGTAGCCTCAGTTTCCTGTTCTTAGCTGACAGGAGCGGCACCCGGTGTGCTCTTCTACTGCTGTAGCCCATCCGCCTCAAGGTTGGACGTGTTGTGTGTTCAGAGATGCTCTTCTGCAGAGCTCGGTTGTAGCGAGTGCTTATTTAATTTACTGTTGCCAGCTGGAACCAGTCTGGCCATTCTCCTTTTACCTCATCAACAGGGCATTTGCGCCCACAGAACTGCCGCTCACTGGATATTTCCTCTTTAGCAGGCCATTCTCTGTAAACCCTAGAGATGGTTGTGCGTGAAAATCCCAGTAGATCAGCAGTTTCTGAAATACTCAGACCAGCCAGTCTGTCACCAACAAACATCCCTTTCACCTTTGAATCCTCTTTCTTCCTCATTTTGATGCTCGCTTTGAACTGCAGCAGATCGTCTTGACCATGTCTACATGCCTAAATGCATTGAGCTGCTGCCATGTGGTTGGCTGATTAGACATTTGCGTTAACGAGCAGTTGGACAGGTGTACCTAATAAAGTGGCCGGCGGGTGTATATATTTTTTTCACATCCAAATAAATATATATATATTCAAATCATTACATAAATATAGTGTTTTATTTATAATCTTATAAATATGTATAATTTCACATTTTATTAATTAATTATATTATTCCTTAACTGTTTTTAAATATTTAATTAATTTCTGAAAAATCATACATTTATACTGTATATTTTTTATTATTATTATTTTCTTTTTATACTTTTTGTGTCACTTTTTGCCAGAGCGTCAGCTTCTTGATGCTCGTCTCTGTATAGATGCAACATCTGTGTTTCATTGGTGCTGGAGTAATGATAAACACACTCGCACAGCTGATCCAAAAGCCACAGTTCGCACGGATGGAGGTGAGTGCTGGATATATTACTGTTAAAACACCTCTGGATTTATTTCTTCAGGCCCTGAAACCCCAGAGAGGCCGACCCTCCACTCGCTCTGCAGGATTATTGTGGATTCTCGAGACCGCCTCGTCCTACGCAATCAGATGAAGAGACTCTGCAAAGCTAACACAGACTGCACTGACACCGGGTTAAGTTGTGCTGGATTCTTCCTCATCAGTCCATTTGAGTCATCTGACGGAACAAATGAAAGCTCATTATTCACTGACCGGTTTTCCACAGTAGCTGATGTCCAGATTTAACTACACTATAAAAATATCCACAGTATAGGCGTTTTCTGTTTATTTACGGTTGTGAATTGCATTATGAGGTGTTAATCTCTGCTCTGTCGTCTTTTGATATTTGACTCTACAGTTTAACAGTATTGACAGTTTAGTAGTTGGAAGTAATATAATGTGTAAGAAATAATATCTAGAGAAATTAATACGTCTGTAAAATAATAGTAAATGGACTGGCGCTTTATTACAAGGTGTTTGTAGCGTAATATACAACGCCAACCCAGACAATATAGCACTGCAAACTGTTACACATGACAATAAAAGTCACTTTTTATGAAAACATATGGGTTCAGTTCAAGTGTGCCGCAAGCCCACGTTTGAGTGAAGGTTTCGGCCGTTAGATCGCCCCCTGGGGGCTGGCTGCAGTACAAGTCATAAAGCCCGCCTCCTCCGTGTTAATGAAGGAGACTTGAGCCCAAATAAAAAAAAATATTACACTTGCAATAAAATGTCCCGAAAGATGGTTCTGGTCGATTAAGGCACTGGTTATTGTGCTGAAATAGGTGCAGATCTTCATTTTTGTAAACAGTTTGTTTTTAGCAGTAATTTAATGCTGGGCGTGTCATCGTGATTGACAGCTGTGATTGACAGTTTCTCAAAGCAGCGCGTCTGAGCTTCAGCAGGAGACTGAAGTAGACTGAAATGTTATTATTCCATTTCTGTGTTATTTTACCATGACAAAATGAGTTCAGCAGTAAACTATAGTTTCTGACATACATGATCCTGGTGGAACACTGTTTATTCGCTAAGGTCAGGGCTTTTTTCGGGCTTTATTAGTTTGCTGATACACGCCTAGCCACCCAGATAGCAAAACACAGTTCCGGCTAGATTCTCGCCTGCCGGAGACTTATCTCTTAGAGCTCAGACTGACTAATGTTACCTCTGCTGGACCTACTCCGGATGCCTGGACTCACTACCCAATTCCAGTCCGAGTCAATCGAGCCAGATGCGGCGGCCGAGCGAGCCGGCGCTGCCGCATGCGAGCCGGAATCAGCCCGCGACGCCGCGAGTAAGTTATGTGTTGCGGCCTGGAGCTGGCGCGATTGAATATATAAAACCCTCATATTTGTTAACGTTATTACATCCATTTGTGTTGATATGACAGCAAACGCATGCTGAGAAGTTCGGGGGGCGTGGTTGACTTTACATAAAGCGTTTGGTTGGAAGCTCGACTCCGCTCATTTTCGCGGCTCCTCCTCTGGCTCCTCCTTCTGCGCATGTCAAGGCTCCAATTTCAGCAGTCTTTTGCGACAGTTTGTGCCCCTCAAGCAGGCGTTTTGCCCTCAAGGCGTTCAATGGGAAAAAGGGCTGTCGCATCGTCCATATTTTTTACAGTCATTGGTTCAGTTTCACAAACAAGGTGTAGCTTAAGTCAGGACTAGAACTTAGTTAAATTACGATTAAAGCCACTTTTATAAAAATGCTGTAAAAAACACATTATTGGTGTGAATTCTGCAGACAAAACAATGCCACTAAGGTATTTTAAGGTATCTAACTGCAAGTTATTTTCAGTTAAGACACTCTTGACACTCGATTTTAAGAAAACTACAATTTAAAAATTGTTTTCAGGCGAGGCAGTGGCGCATTAGGTAGTGCTGTCGCCTCACAGCAAGAAGGTCGCTAGTTCGAACCTCAGCTCAGTTGGCGTTTCTGTGTGGAGTTTGTATGTTCTCCCTGCCTTCGTGTGGGTTTCCTCCGGGTGCTCTGGTTTCCCCCACAGCCCAAAGACATGCGGTACAGGTGAATTGGGTAGGCTAAATTGACTAAAGTGTATGAGTGTGGGTGTGAATGTGAGTGTGGATGTTTCCCAGTGATGGGTTGCGGCTGGAAGGGCATCCGCTGCGTAAAAACTTGCTGGATAAGTTGGCGGTTCATTCCGCAGTGGCGACCCCGGATTAATAAAGGGACTAAGTCGACAAGAAAATGAAATCAAATTGAAAAATTATTTTCAACCAGCCAAAGTGGCTAGTGGTGGTGTCTGTCTAACCCGCCACACAGGAAATCTACCTGCATTTGGCAGGTGTTAATGTTAAGCCCTGATTATAATTGTTTTGGGAGAAAATGCATTTGCTGGTAAAATCCTTTACATTCTCAAGAGAAACTTTTTACTTTCCCACAAGCGACATTTCCTTCCTTCATTCTCAATCTATTGTGCTTTCCCAGGGAAACGGAAAAAGCAAACTATAAAATATAAAGGATATGTATGTTTGAAGTAAAGTCGATTTGACTGACAAATGATCAGATGGGGAATCGATTCTTTTATCGACTCTTCATTGCTGCGAGAATTAAGGGATACAGCTGGGGACGGAGGTTAATGAGAATGATTTATATTATTCATTAAATCACCCAAAAAGCAAACGTTCCCTGAAAATTCTGTGTTCTTTTGCAAAACTTTCCATTTTCTTGAAACACTTTGAGGTCTAAACTCCTGCGTTCCCTCAAGAACTGTAGCACTTGCTGACAAAACGTGCATTATTTTATCGAAATGTATACACCACAGAAGAAAATCTATAACTCAAGCTCTTTAAATGAATAATTCAAACATGAGAGCTACACCAAAGTAAGGAATTTATCAGTGCATCACATTTAAAACAAACTCCAGTGCAAATGAAATTCAAGATAGTTTGACCTCTCGACACCATTGATTTTTGGGATGCTTTGCAATCATAAAATATGCATATACACGAGTTTGATTTGCTCAGTGTTTTTAAATATAGAGCACTGGTGCTTTCATGATCATTTCAGAGGTTTGCAGTGACATTAGTGTGAGTGAGAATTGTCATTTTTGGATGAACCGTTCGTTTTAATGCACAATGTTCATTCTTTACTTTTGATAATCAGCTCTCTGTTCTGCTCATTCACCTTTTCCTCTGCTCTCTAATTCTTTTATTAGCTTTCTTGGCTGTCTTTTAAATATCTCATCACTGAAGCTGATCTTATTTGATTGAAAGCTAATTAAAACAAAAGATTTCACATCAGGACGAAACACTGAGGCCTGCTTCATTTACAAGCACTAAAATATAACGGTCTACTTAAGGATTTTATATTGCTTTTTAAGGATGTATTGTTGAGTTTTAATAATACAGGGGAAAAAAAACATGAGGATTGATTAATACATATTTTATTGCTGCTTGTTAAATTGCAAGTTCACTCTTTGAAATCTTGAATTTATCGAAAAAGATGTCCAACAATATATCCAAGCTATATTTCATGCTCAAAGGACTATAAAGCTCTTATAATCAACATGGTAAATGCCGCAGAGTTTCATTAGAGTATATTCAACGTTGGACAGATGTATTTCAGAAACTGCTGATCTACTGGGATATTCAAGCACAACCATCTCTAGGGTTTACAGAGAATGCTCTGACAAAGAGGAAATATCCAGTGAGCGGCAGTTCTGTGGGCGCAAATGCCTTGTTGATGCCGGAGGTCAGAGGAGAATGGCCAGACTGGTTCCAGCTGGCAACAGTAACTCAAATAAGCACCGAGCTCTGCAGAAGAGCATCTCTGAACACACAACACGTCCAACCTTGAGGCGGATGGGCTACAGCAGCAGAAGAGCACACCGGGTGCCGCTCCTGTCAGCTAAGAACAGGAAACTGAGGCTACAATTCACACAGACTCACCAAAACTGGACAATAGAAGATTGGAGAAACGTTGCCTGCTCTGATGAGTCTCCATTTCTGCTGCCACATTCAGATGCTCGGGTCACAATTTGGCCTCAACAACATGAAAGCATGGATCCATCCTGCCTTGTATCAGCGGTTCAAGATGATGGTGGTGGTGTAATGGTGTGGAGATTTTCTTGGCACACTTTGTGTCTATTAGCATTAACTGAGCATCGTGTCAACACCACACACTACCTGAGTATTGCTGCTGACCATGTCCATCCCTTTATGAGCACAGTGTACTCATCTTCTGATGGCTACTTCCAGCAGGATAACACACCATGTCATAAAGCGTGAATCATCTCAGACTGGTTTCTTGAACATGACAATGAGTTCACTGTACTCAAATGGCCTCCACAGTCAGCAGATCTCAATCCAATAGAGCACCTCTGGGATGTGGTGGAACGAGAGATTGGCATCATGGATGTGCAGCCGACAAATCTGCAGCAACTGTGTGATGCTATCATGTCAATATGGAGCAAAATCTCTGAGGAATATTTCCAGTATCTTGTTGAATCTCTGCCTTGAAGTATTAAGGCAGTTCTGAAGGCAAACGGTGTTCCAACCCGGTACTTGTAAGGTGTACCTAATAAAGTGGCCGGTTAGTGTAAAAGCAGGTGTTTAATCCCGAATCAAGAGGCCATTTGGCAAGAGCTTGGAAAAAAAAAAAAAAAAAAAAAAGCTTTTTCGGTGTGCATGTTGTGTTTTAATACAAACTATCTCTGGGGGAGACTGGGAAACCTACTAAACCTGACACAAGCAGAGAAAGGTGGAATCTGAGAGGAAGAAGAAGAGGCCATTTTAAAGCCGCGTTAACGAGGCCACCTGCTGGTGGATAGTGCTACCACACAAGACTGATGATATGCACTGTAAAATTTTAATTATTTTTCTCGAATATATAAGAGATGCTTAACAGAACAACGACTTACCACTTTTTGTTTGGAAAGAATAAAAAACGAAAAAGAAAGGCTAATAAATTAACCTAACTTGCATAATAAACCTAGTTAAGCCTTTAAATCGCACTTTTAAGCTGAATACTGGTATCTTGGAAAACAACTAGCAAAATATTATAACCTGTCACCTTTTTTGGGGTCAACATCTACACATATTTAAATTATCTGGACCTCTAACACTTATCAAAAATCCCTTTCTAAATTCATGTCTATTTTCTTTTCTAACTAACAATCCATTTTCTAGTATATTCTACTCTTTCCATAAAGCAAACACAACTTAGTTAACATAACCAAGTTTTCTCGTTCTCTGATTAAATGTAAGTGTGGTTCAATGATTTGCAGGTGTTTTGGGATGCACATGGTTATTA